TGAGCGAGCGCTGTATGAACACTGTAAGTCAAATCGGTCAGGAAAGCACAGGCAACCTATTTGGTTATAGGCTTTACAATCCCACCAACTTTGGTGGTTCTAGCTCGAAAGCTGTAGAAGGAGTAACATTGCAAAGTTTTGACCGTAGAAGAAGATAATGAAGAACGAAGTTGGCTTGAAAAAGGTCTATTTTGATTTCAGGTTGACTTTGAATACGTAATGATTTTCGTCACATTTTACGTATCTCAGAAGCTCAGAAGTGGTACGAGCGTACTTTCGAGGGGTCTTGTTTTCACCTCATTTACAACTCCCTCTGTTTTTCTCGGGGGCATGCAGATTCCACATTAGGGCGTAGGCCCCCGCTCTAAAACCACTCACATAAACCCGCAGAAACTCTGTCAGCGCTCTGGTCTTTCGCAGCTTTGTGCAGGCTTGTTTGAGCCAGGACGAGCAGCGAGGAACAAAACTGGAAAACATTTCTCTGGGTTTATGTGTGTGTGTGACATCTCCTGGTGAGACCGTTCGGCAGCCGCCCTTTCCAAGCAGCGATGCATGACGTGTTGTTTCTATCTGCTGAAAACAGCATGCCATGCATGGAGGATGAATTTGCTCCGAGGCATTATTGAAATTAGCAGACCAAGTCTGGCCAAACAGGTTGGAAGTGTGTATGTAAAGCTCCATTCACTCCCCTTGATCCAACCTGTCACCTGCATGTGTCAGTCATGTGGCCCACAGCTCACTTTAAACAGTTTGTTTGCTGCTGCCCCCTGGCAGTAACCACAAAACTCCCTTGAACAAAGACAAAGTGCCACAGTTTAGTCCCATTTGCGTAATCCATCAATGGTAGGCGGTTAAGCATAGTCATATACGCATTTAGAAGAGTGGAATAGGCCTCAGCAACTGCTGCCCAACAGCTAATGCTAAAATCCAGTCTACAGCATAAATAACACACGAGTCTTTGCATAGAGAAACCATACTGCTGTACCTGGATTTCTGTAAGTAATGGTGTAGAAACCCTATTGGTAGCCCGGATCCTAAATTTACATAGAGGTGATTTGAATAAGCCCTATTTATGTGGCGGCATTGCGCATCAAACACTCTTTTGCTTGCAGTTTTTATGCTCCACTATCAGAGCCAAATTATGTATGTATTCAATCCGATTTTCTATACTTTACTACGATATTATGTGTTAAAATGATCCTACAGTAGCTCTAATTATATTCTACATACATTCAACCCCCCAAATCACAACCCGTAGAATTTATAACTGGTTTTACAGTCATTACAGCCCAGTCGATTGAGAATGGATGTGTCTTTAACAAAATACTTATATGAAAAGCAGTTCCACTCTTTATGTTTATAAATTTGGTATATCGTCATTGAAAATGTGGTGCTACGTTACATTTGAATTACAATTAGATTGTTTTACAAGTCTTAAAAAAGTCAGAGAACTTGACTGTGACTCAAGAGGACTCGTGTTTAGCCCCTAATGACTTATCATGTGTACTGTGTTTCTGTTGCTCTACAGCGTGAGTGCATCTCTGTCCATGTGGGCCAGGCCGGTGTTCAGATGGGTAACACCTGCTGGGAGCTGTACTGTCTGGAGCATGGTATCCAGCCTGATGGACAGATGCCCAGCCAAAAGCCTGTTGGTGGCCATGATGACTCATTCACTACCTTCTTTAGCGAGACTGGCGCTGGAAAATATGTACCTCGTGCCATCTTTGTGGACCTGGAGCCCACAGTCATAGGTGACTAAATCTTGCCTTCAGTCCAATTTGGTCTAGCATGTGATGCTGTACCTCTGAGCCAATGAATCTTCTTCAAAGAGCCCTACAGAGGCCATTTTCTAACCAAGTTCTTGGTGGTTAAGACACTTTATGCATATATCAAACAGAGTACAGCTTGACTGCCAGTCATTTTACAGCAATTTTCAGGCATTTGCTCCAAAGTTGGGTCCACCAGATGTTCTGAACTGAATTTGTACAACCTTGTGTTCCAGATGAGGTGCGTACCGGTACCTACCGCCAACTCTTCCACCCGGAGCAGTTGATCTCAGGAAAGGAGGATGCAGCCAATAACTACGCTCGAGGTCACTACACCATCGGCAAGGAGATCATAGACTCTGTCCTTGACCGCATCCGCAAACTGGTAAGATTGTGGAAAAGTCAGATCAGTGGTTCTCAGTCCTGGTCCTGGAGTGTGAATGTCTTACATGTTGTAGTGATTTTCCTGCTTCACCACACCCAGCTCACCTCGAGGGTGACTTGCTAATTAGTTCACTTAGTTGCATCAGGCATTTTTGAAGATAGGGAAACTCCTAAATGTGCAGCATACCCCAAGACAGAGATTGAGAACCACTTGGTTTGGTTAGCATTATGCAAAGGATGATCATCATAACTGTTCCAGTACAGTATTATTTGCTTACCAAATTGTTAACTGCTAAAGCAACCTGGTTAATTGGTCAGATAACGCTGTGGTTTGATAGATTGATTCTTGAGATTATTGTCTAATGTTCTACTACAGTTGGAACAAATACTAACCTTTGAGAAAATTCTGATTGTTTTTTTAAAACTAGATATAGTCAAGATTATATAATGAGTATCACCTCTTCTGTACAGGCTGACCAGTGCACAGGACTGCAGGGCTTCCTGGTATTCCACAGCTTCGGTGGAGGAACAGGGTCTGGATTCACCTCCCTCCTGATGGAGCGTCTCTCTGTTGACTTTGGCAAAAAGTCCAAGCTGGAGTTCGCCATCTACCCAGCACCGCAGGTGTCCACGGCTGTGGTGGAGCCATACAACTCCATCCTGACCACTCACACCACGTTGGAGCATTCCGACTGCGCCTTCATGGTGGACAATGAGGCCATCTACGACATCTGCCGGAGGAACCTGGACATCGAGCGCCCGTCCTACACTAACCTCAACCGGCTCATCAGCCAGATCGTGTCCTCCATCACCGCCTCCCTCCGCTTCGATGGCGCCCTGAATGTGGACCTGACGGAGTTCCAGACCAACCTGGTGCCATATCCCAGAATCCACTTTCCCCTCGCTACGTATGCACCAGTCATCTCTGCCGAGAAGGCCTACCATGAGCAGCTCTCAGTGGCCGAGATCACCAACTCCTGCTTCGAGCCCAGCAACCAAATGGTGAAGTGCGACCCGCGGCACGGGAAGTACATGGCCTGCTGCCTGCTGTACCGTGGCGACGTTGTGCCCAAGGACGTCAACGTGGCCATCGCAGCCATCAAGACCAAGAGGAGCATCCAGTTTGTGGACTGGTGCCCCACTGGCTTCAAGGTGGGAATCAACTACCAGCCCCCGACTGTGGTACCCGGTGGTGACCTGGCCAAGGTCCAGAGGGCTGTGTGCATGCTGAGCAACACCACAGCCATTGCTGAAGCCTGGGCTCGCCTGGACCACAAGTTTGACTTGATGTACGCCAAGCGGGCCTTTGTGCACTGGTACGTGGGGGAAGGCATGGAGGAGGGAGAGTTCTCTGAGGCTCGTGAAGACATGGCAGCCCTGGAGAAGGATTACGAAGAAGTGGGTATCGACTCATTTGAGGAAGACGAGGAGGGAGAAGAGTTTTAAAAGACCTGAGAAGAAAGTGACCTCTGGACAATGTCTGAGCCCATTATAACATCTAAAATACTGGAAAAGGACTGAGTGTAAATTCTTTTCTATTCCTGCCAACATTACCAAAGGAAGCACAATGTGCAGCCCCCAATGCCATCTACTTTCTAAATGTTTGTTTTGTCTTTTGGTGTAACCCTTTTTATTTTGTACCAGAAGTGTCAAAATAGCTATTGATATCAAATAAAGGTGTCAGTTCTGCTTGATTGCTTGTTTTCATTTTTTGATGTAGAATAAAAAAAATCAAAATGCACCATTGGCTACCTACATATATACACACATATATGGAAACTGAGCTGCAAAATAAACCAGTTTTGAATTCATTGATTGTGTGACGGCACAAAAACCTTACACATTTACATGTCTGCCTACTCAACCTACAGCAGGGTGGCCAATCAGAACAGGGGTAATTTACATATCAGTCTTAAAGACTGGGGAGGAATGCGCTGATATTGGAATTGTCGGCCATTGCCGATATCAGATATTTACAAATATCCACTGATGCCTAGACACAAACGTGGAACATAACACTTATTTATAGAATTTCAAATACAGTACAAATTAATAAAACGCATGCATGTTGGTGGATCCCAGCACCACCTAAACGTTCTGCTCTTCAATAGAACAATAAATACACCATCAAATATCTTTTTGAAATACTAAACTTTTTAAAGCAAATATCTGCTGATAATGATTTGATTCGCACGTAACCGTGCATCATCAAATATAAGAAAAATATAGAAAATGGCCCAAATCTTACAATATGTGCGGAAAAGGAAATAAAGATTTAAGAGAGAACAAAAAAAGTACAAATTTAGAAATGAGTTCAATTTACAGTTCACAGTGGTGCTGATAGGAACCAGACATCCACCTCTGAAAGCTCCCACATATAAAGTTACTACATGAAATGGTTATGAATTCACTGCATGGTGTCTGAGACACTGTTTTATGATGGTTTTGTGATAAGGTTTTGGCTTAAAACGTATTTTAATCAGTTTATTTCAATCCATTCATGGTGGTGAGATTCATGAAAGGGTGTTGTGAGGCAAAATAGTCCCCAAAATAACCTTATAATTTCAGATTTTACACTATTTTCCATCATCAACATCCATATAAACTCAGAAGACTCGTGTCGGTTCACTGGTGGTTTTGGACAGTAAAGTGAAATGTCTATATTTGTGTTGCAGTCATGGCGACCCCTGGTTCCTATCACCACCACTGTAAAGACATGTGAACCACTTCACACCAAACCACTCTGAATCACTCTGCTTACAGCTCACACACTGAATTATGCAGAAATTTTGAAAAGTCGGTGGGGTTGCCCTTTAAGGCTGTGCGTCATCAGCGCGTCATCGGTGTACACGGAAGAGTCTCTGTGGAGGAGAGAGAGGGAGAGAGAGCGGAGGAGTCCATCTGTGAAGGTAACACTGCTCACATTGGCTCTATAAACAGCAGCCTCGGCTCCGCGTTACTGATTCAGCTAAACAGCTGGAGACTCGGCTCTGACACGAGATTTAGAGGCTTTAAGGTTATTTTACCCACATTTAGACCCGCCGCCCGGCTCGAGTCTGCCACGTTAGCGCTGAAGGCCTTAAAGGGAGCGTTTAGAGAAGAGAGCTGAATCAGAAGAGGCCTAAAACACATCAGCAGCTTCGAGCGAAAACCGGAACGTGGTTCACTTACATCGAAGCTTTAACTTAGAACGCATTTTACAGGGTTTTGTGTTAAAGACGAGGACAGCCAATCAGGGGCTGCGGCGAGGCAAAGTCAGCCAATCAGGGCCTGCAGCGAGGCAAAGTCAGCCAATCAGGGCTGTTAACGTACAAGAGCCAGCCAGTAAGGATTTTCTGAATACAAGGCAGCTAATCAGGGCTATATGATATAAGAGGCAGTGAGTAAGGATTTTTTTTAGAAATGAGGCAGCCAATAGGAGCTGTTTAGGTAAAAGAAGCAGCCACTCAGAGCCCATTAGAAATGGGGCAGCCAATAAGAGCTGTTTCAAAATGGGGCAGCTAATTAGGGCTGTTTAGATACAAGAGGCAGCCAATCAGGGCTATTCAGATACACGAGGCAGCCAGTCAGGGCTATTTACTTTTTTAAAGACTGTTTGGGTAAAGGGGACCACCAATAAGAGCTCTTTAGGTATACAGGCCCATAAGGATGGTTTAGGTACAAAAGGCTGCCAATGAGTGCTGTCTAGATGCAAGAGAGAGCCGGCCAGGGCTGTTTAGATACAAGGGCAGCCAGTAAGGCCGTTCAGATGCAAGAAACAGCCAATAAGGACTGTTTAGATACAAGAGGTAGCCAATGAGGGCTACCTAGATGCAAGAGACAGCCAATAAGGATTCTTTGGGTACACGAGGCAGCCACTGAAGGCTATTTAGATTCAAGAGACAGCTGATAAGGACTGTTTAGGTAGGCAGCCAATGAAGGCTGTTTAGATGCAAGACACTGGCTGTTTAGGTATACAAAGCAGCCAGTGAGGGCTATTTTAAATGCAAGAGACAGCCAATCAGGGTTGTTTAGATTCAATGGCAGCCAGTAAGGCTGTTCAGATTTAAGAGACGGTAAACAAGACAGCCAATAAGGGCTGTTTAGATACAAGAGAGAGCCAGTCAGGGCTGTTTAGATCCCCCGAAAAGGGATGCAGCAAAATAAATGGCAGCCAAGCGACAAGTGAGAGGTTACAAGGGGCACCAGTTACGCAGTTCAAGCGCAGACCAATCAGGAGGTACAAGGAGCAGTCAGTCAGGCACTGCTACAGCAGAAGCTCCAGGCACTGCAGAATCAGCCAACCGGCTCACAGACTTAAATAATTCAGCCAGGCTTGTACCTCAGTGGAAAACTCGCGTCACTTCTCAAAACCTAAAGGTCAGGTTTCCTGATGTTGGTTTACTGGCCACAGCTCACAGGTTTCTGTACGTAACTAAACAAGTACAATCGTTTAGTTAATGAGAAACCTCTCATAGTGTCAGGAAATATTCTTGACATCATTATTAATATTGCTTTCAGGTAATTCCACATATCCTTCATATTCTTCTCTGTGATCCAGTTCTGCTTCCTCACCCCTGGTTGATCAGGTGAGCGATGCGCGACCAAGGATGGGGCAGTCCCTGTGTATCTGCTCTCGCAGTTCCATCACCATCGACAACAAGAGATACTACTTCATCCAGAAACTCGATGAGGGGTAAGACACAAATGGCACATATATTCACTGAACTAAGGTTAGGGGAAAGTTCAGTTGGCTCACTTGATCTGAATACCAAGAGCTTATTAGGCAGTCGAGTGTAGAGCAGGGCTTTCCAACCTTTTTCATACCAGGACCCACAAGAAGAGGGAGAGTTTGTTACATGACCCACCAAATATCAATACATCAATACATTCCATTAATATTTGGTTTACAAAAAAAACACTAGTGTAGTGGTGTCTGGCCTTCCAGCCATAGTTGTGCTGAAGGTAGTTTGGTGGCACAAGAGGTTAAAAGTGGAGTTTCTGGAGTTCTGGCACGTTCCCTCCATCGATGAGAGTGATCAAGAGCCATTATTGTTGTTTTACTATACATTGAGTTTATTTTTGATCTAAAAAAGCCAGGTTTTCAAGAGCATCTGAATATTAGAGCCAAAAAAAAAGAAACAGGCATCCATAAGCTACATTGTCACCGTCAGATGATTCAAAATCTGAGAGTGGCTTTGGATCGATTAGCAAGTTTTCATACCAAAACATCCATACAACAGTAACCCTTACAGATTGAGAACTATTGTTTCTCACGGTTCTCCGTGGTTGTCCTCCTTCAGAGGCTTTAGCTACGTGGACCTGGTGGAGGGCGCCCAGGACGGCCGCTTCTACGCTCTGAAAAGGATCCTGTGCCATGACCGCGAGGGGCGACGGGAGGCGCAGACGGAGGTGGAGATGCACCGGCTCTTCAACCACCCCAACATCCTTAGCTTGACCGGCCACGCCTTCACGGAGCGCAGCGGCAAGAGCGAGGCCTGGCTCCTTCTGCCCTACATCAGCGTAGGTTACCGGTTTAAAGGGGTGCTTTACCCAGGACTGCTGTTTACGGATGATACTTTGATGAAAAATACTGTTTGTGGAGGAATTATTAATCAAAATATTCTAAATGTCTAACAGCGAATTCAATTTAGCTAGCGTTAGCATCGTGCTAACTTTGTGTGGCTGAAGCTGAGGTAATTTGAGTAAACTTTTTGGGTCATAACATGACCTCCAGTGGACGGAAGATGGTAGAGACTAGTACAACTCATTTTTAGGCGGAGTAGTCATTTTAGTCCAAGAATATTTTACCAGAAGTCTGACAGCAACGTTAGTGATGGGAAGTTAGCATAATGCTAACTCTCAATCGCTGAGGCAACTTGAGTAATCTTCTTAACTCATAACATGACTTCCAGTGAGTGAAATGCTTATGGAGACAAGTGCAATTCGTTTTTTAAGTTTTTTTTTTTTTTAATCAAATTTAATATATTGAAACAAATAAAACATTACATGTGTAACATAACATAGTAAAAGGGTCCAATATGTTAATTTGGAGTAAAATTAGCAAAAAAATGCCACATTTAAGTTTTTTTTTTATCTTCTTTTCAACAAGACACATAAATTGACCAAAAATATTTACACTTTTGCGTATGACTGCATAAAAAAATGCTCAATGTTTACCAAAGTTGATGGTAAGATGTTAGTATAATGCCAGCTTTGAATGACCGTGATGGAGCTGAGGCTTTTTGAACCATGTTTTTCAGTCATATCATGATTATCACTGAGTGAAAACTAGCGAGGACCAGTACTATTCATTGTTAGTGCAAATAGTCCTTTTATGTAAGTAATTCAATGGATCTGAATAGGAGCTTATGCTGTATGTGTGCCTTTGAGGCCTTTTATCAGAGTTAACAGGCCTTTCCAGCTCATTTAAAATTTCAGCAGGTGGCAGATGTCGCCTGTATGTCACCTGTAACATTTCCACCAGCCAAAAATGTTAAAAGAATACTTCATCCAAATGACATAACATAGTTAACAGTGACTGAAGGCTAAAAGGTCCTTTAGGAACTGATGTGCCCAGTATACGCTGGTTGGTGTTTTACCTGTGTGTTTTGATGATCCTTTGCAGAAAGGAAGTCTCTGGTCTGTTCTGGAGAAGCTGAGGGACAAAGGCAGCTCCATGCCAGAGAGCCGCATTCTGCACATTTTGCGTGGCATCTGTGAGGGTCTCAAAGTGATACATGACCAGGGCTACGCTCACAGGTAGGCCGCAAAGCATGCTTTAGCGCAGTCACCAAACCTTCTCCTGGAGATCTAAATTCCTCCAGAGTTTAGTTCCAACCTGCATTTAACACATCTAATCCAGCCATCAAGGGCTTCTGGAGAAGTAGCTGGAGATTTTTGTTGGAACCAGACTCTGCAGATCCCTAGAACCAGTGTCGCTGACCACTGCTTTAATGCTTGCTTCAATGATGCATCCTTAATGCCAACATGATTAATGATCATAGTGGAGAACCTAACAATTCCTTTAACCCATTATTCTCTTTTTGAGCTTTGAGAACTGAGCCTTAGAGCTATCGATGTTGACATTACTTACTCATTATTATTTACTGCAAAGCAGGTTTCAGGGGCCAGATTCAAAAAAGCTTAAATTAAAATTCTTAAAATAAACACTAGTAAATTCATAAGTACGTTCTTAAATCCAAATTTTTAAGTTTTCTTAGAATTATACCTAAGAAAAGAACTCTTAAGAAGTTATTTGAAGAATAATCAGTTTTTTGTAACTTTTTTTTAAGAATGAACTTAAGAAAAAACACAAATTTAAGAAGATTTTCTTTTTTAAGATACTGTTACGAATCCGGCCCCTGGTAATGAACAGTCTAAAAGTTAGGAGTTCAGCTCACGGCTCTGCTCTGTGTCTTTAGGGACCTAAAGCCCACCAATGTCCTCCTGGAGGAGAACGACAGGCCTGTGCTGATGGACCTGGGCTCCATGAACAAGGCCCGTATTGAAGTGAGAGGCTCGCGAGAGGCCATGACGATACAGGTGGGGGCATAAATCAGCCATTCTGCCAAGTACTAGCACCACTGCTTTTGTTTTTCTGTGGTATGGTTTGCATGATATTAAATGTCATAGTGTCTCTCTCTCTCTCTCTCTCTCTCTCTCTCTCTCTCTCTCTCTCTATTTAATGCACACAGGACTGGGCAGCTCAAAGGTGTACGATCTCATACAGAGCTCCAGAGCTTTTTAACGTGGAGAGCCACTGTATCATTGATGAAAAGACAGATATTTGGGTGAGTGTCAGGCTTGAACTCAACTTTTTGGCATCCATATATATATATATATATGTATGTATATAACTGTTGGAAATGTCAAAGTCTGGAGCTGTTTTTCTCTCTGTGTTGTCAGTGAACTTGTGTTCATTAATGCGATCATGAATGGACAGGAGTGGCCAAAGGCGAAAGAATAGTTTGCCAGTCTGAAATGGTCTGTTCAAAATAGATGCCAGCTGGGTTGACATGTTTCTTAACACAAGGAACTAATTTTTTAATGGCACAAGTGTCCAAATACTTTTGGGTACAACTGTATTTTCATGGATTTGGCACCTCATTCACATATTAAAACCATTCCTGGGCTCCTGAGTGACGCAACCATCTAAGCGTCTAACCTGTCTTCAGGAGATCGTGAGTTCGATCCCTGGTGATGCTACAGCCATCCGTAGCCGGGAGTCCGAGAGAGCACAATTGGCCTCACTCTCTCTGGGTGGGTAGGATGGCCCCCCGTCTCCCCATCACTCAGCGAGATGTTAGTCAGAGCAGGCGTCTGTTAGCTGACCTAACAGAACTGACGGTTGGCGCTTTCGTCCGAGCGCGTTCAGCTGTCCAATGATGCTGCGTTAGCGGCAACTCGAAAAGATGCGGGGCCTCTTCACAGGTCTCGGAGGACGCCTGTGTTAGCCTTCACCCTCCTAGCGTTCGTGGTATGGTGTGATTGGGGGAGTCCTAACTAGCGGGTGGAATTGGAGACGACTAAATTGGGGAGAAAAGTGGGGGACAAATGCCCCAAAAAAACATTCCTGTGATGATGTTTAGAGATGTATCAAGAAAAATCATAGTATTTTCTACAAACAGTTTGATATACAACATAAAATGAACTAAATACTTGCACCCTGTGTCACCTTGTGCTACACCATGAACTTTCGCTCTCGATTCCTGTTTGAGTTCGCGGTAAGAGAAACGGTAATGAAAGCAACATCAACAATGTTTATCACAGATGTAACATTATGGGGAGAACTCACACTGAGTCGTTTTGGTTTGGTTCCTGGACCTTCTACACCATCGAACCCGTCACTACTCAGTGTTTCGAGACCTCATTAGGAAAATACTATGTTGTTGAATTTACAAATACTGTCCAGATGTGTCCACTACTCCATTAAGTGCACAGATTCAGTCAGATCCAGCCTGTAAATACAGTGATATGCTAAATGCTCTGGCATCACTGAGTGAGTTTCTATAATGATGTCCCTCTTGTAAATCACTGTCAGCTCGTTCTGATCTTCCAGAGCAGCGCTGTGTTGAGTCTGTGTTACACTAACACAGTTAAACTCTCTGAAGTGTCTTTTCTTGCTGGAAATGGTTTCATGATTTTGGTATTTAAATTGGGGTCATCTGTTTTATCCAGTACTGGCTCTGTATGACCGTGTGCTGTGTGTTCCTCTGTCCAGTCATTAGGCTGTGTGCTGTACTGTATGATGATGCTGGAAGGACCGTATGATCTGATCTTCCAGAAGGGGGACAGCGTGGCGCTGGCTGTCCAGAACCCAGTGGCCATTCCACAACCATGCAAGTCAGTGCATCACTGATTTATTGACCAGAACTTGTTTATTTATATTTTCCCTGCTCTGTATATGCAAAGTTGAGTGGCTCTCAAGACCACAAGCGTATTTATGTATTTATTTATTTATTTAATATTTTGCAAACACTATCAGTCAAAGGTTTGGCCACGCCTGATTGTCTGTATGTTCAGTCGTATGCAAAAGTATAACAAAATTGTTATCTTGAAATAACAAGTTACTTATCTTGTTATCTTGAGATAACAAAGGTTTTGTTGAGATGACGTTAATTATCTTGTGATCCCAAGATAACAAAATTTTCAAAGTTTTGAAATAAGTTACTTATCTTTTTATCTTGAGATCACAAAGGTTGTTATGTTGAGATAAGTTCATAACAATTTTGTTATTTTGAGATCACAAGATAACAAAAATGTTATCTTGAAATAGTTAGTTACTTATCTCGAGATAGCAAAGGTTATGTTGAAAAAACAAGCTACTTATCTTGTTATCTTGAGATTACAAAGGTTGTTATGTTGAGATAATGAGTTAATTATCTTGTGATCTTAAGATAACAGCATTGATATCTTGAAGTAACGAGTTACTTATCTTGTTATCTCAACATAACAAAATTGTTGTCTTGAAATAACAAGTTACTGTTCTTTTTATCCCAAGATAACAATCCAGAATATTATAGCAACAGCTCATGGCCTCTCCTACGGAGCCTGGCTGGTGACCTCCCATATAAATAAAAATAATGCATGGCTATATGCATTAGTAACGCATGAGAACGAGATCCTAATGTGTGGCCATGACTTATTAAGGCACGGGAATGAGATAATTAAGTCATGGCCACAACTTAGTAAGGCGTAGGAACGAGATCATGCTTTAGTAAGTTGTGGCCATGCATTAGGATCGCGTTTCCACACCTTACTAAGTCGTGGCCACGACCTAATTATCTTGTTCCCACCTCTTACTAAGTCGTGGCCATGTATTGTTTTTATTTATAAAGGATGTCACCAGCGGAGCTCTGTCCTCTCCAGACTTCCGTATAATATAGTGTTGGAACCACAGTCATCCTGTCATCCTAATTGCTATGCGTTTCTCTTTAAAGGTTAATTAGAGAAACATCTGGCCTCGTTACGGCTTTTCATCCAATCAGCTGTGTTCTGATGAGGAAGGGGTGGGGTTTAAATATTTGGTAGAAGGCCAATATTCCCAAGTGGAGTACTTTCTTATAAACTATTTCATAGTATTGATGTGTTTGTTTTTATTCTAAAATGTGAAAAACGTCATTATTCTAACTGACCTCTCTGACCTCAGTTACTCCGAAGGACTGCAGAACCTCCTCAGTTCCATCATGGTGACCAACCCTCAGGAACGGCCCGACATCAGCTGGGTACTCGACCAGGTCAAGAGCCTGCAGGGCTCGGACGGCGGCGCCGTGGACACCAACAGGGTATGATGGTCGCGCCGAGGGAGCGGTGCGACTCCCTTTGTCTCTTCCTCTGGACAGGAGATTTAATCTGGACTATGCACTCTCTCGCTCTTTTTCGGGTTCACCTGCCAAAGGGACCCGTGGCCTCGCAAACATTCACCTACATTTACCTCAGTGGACTCATGGGTAACATAGGACAGACACGCATATCCGTCATAATACATATAAGACACAAAGGACATTTCTTGAGTTCTGACCACGACAGAGATTCTGGACGGTCTCACAATACTTTGGATCTTGGGTTAGATAGTATAGTTTGTCCATCCACTTCAACTCAAGCATTCAGCAGCGACAGCTTCCAATGGGAGCACTTTGCAGAGCCCAAGATTGTCACGGTCGCACAGTATGACTGTCCACGTCTTTAGTGATGTACTACCTACCATAGAGATTATAAGAAACCTTTACAAAGAAGCAGAAAGGAGTTGCGGTCAGTCTGTAAACATGAGTTGGGAGAGTAACAGAGGAAGTTTCATGTCCATGTTGTCTGAGACAGACAAACTGTTTGAGTGTGTGTGTGTGTGTGTGTGTGTGTGTGTGTGTGTGTGTGTGTGTGTGGCGTGTGTGTGTGTGTGTGTGTGCGTGTGTGTGTGTGTGTGTGTGAGTGAGCATGCTTTCAAAGGGGAATTCCACCCATTTTTCATAACTGAGCTGTGAACAAAGTTGTTCAGAGACACAGTGGTGGTGATAGGAACCAGGGAGATAATGCTGACTCCACACTGATGGTCCATAAAGAATAATTCTACTGATTTTTCTAAATTCTGGCGTAATTCAGTGTGTGAGATGTAAACAGAGTGACTCAGAGTGGTTTGGTGTGAAATGGTTCAGATGTCTTTACAGTGGTGGTGCTGGGAACCAGGGGTCGCCATGACTACAACTCAAATATAGCCATTTTATTTACTATCCAAAACCACCTCCTACACTGGTTCTATTTTGTCAGAAGGGTACTTTACAGGTACGTTTCTGTTCATCAAGGTACAATGTAAATAGACCCTCAAAGGTCCAGTTGTGTACCTTAAAAGTACACTACATTTACATTTCCAGGAGAAAGGAGTACATTTATTACTTCATAATATTAACATTTTAAAATAGGAAAATAAATTTAAAAGGCTGGACGCCAAAAAAAAAAAACTTTTTTAGAAAGTTTTAGGCTAAATTTATTTCACAGCTATGATAAAACAGTGTCTCAGACATCAGGCAGTGTATTTATAACCATTTCATGTCTCTGAGGGAGCTTTTAGAGGTGGACGTCTGGTTCCTATCACCTATCAACCAGAGCGTTTCACACCAAACCACGCTTATGTGCAGAAAGTTTAAGAAATTGGTGGAATTTCTTTTCAAGTGAGACTGAAAAACGCAGCTAAGAGGAATTAAGAGTTAAATTCTTATCGTAATACTTCACCACAAAATGCTATGAATCGCATGAATTCAGCCATCATCCAGTATGTTTGGTGTCTGAAGTTTGCTTCTTTAGTTTTGAACTGAAGCTACGAGGCTAAGTCACGGAAACGTGTACCCCACCAATTAGCGTCATGCTAACTGCATACATAAATCGTCACATACTCGCCTCAAACTGTATGGAGTTATTAACTAATCTCCAGTAGACTGGCTGTTACTGCTTTTAGCTATTCTTTTTTTATTTTTGATCGAATGATTCCTTTAACAAATGAAAACCAGCAGGGGGCCGTTGTCCCGATCTGGTCCCCATTGGCTCTCATACATTCGTGTGCAAAAGTTTGGGCACCCCTGGTCAAATGACATGCTGTTGTGGATTGTGTTTTCATTTTTATTGTTTTTTTTATGCGACTGGCGACCTGTCCAGAGTGTATCCTGCCTTCTGCCCAATGACCGCTGGGATAGCCTCCAGCACCTCCCCACCCCCCACCCAAGACCCAGAAGGATAAGCGGTTTAGAAGATGTGTGTGTGTGTTTTTATGCAACAATCCACCAATAAGTAGAAACTGTGCACTAAAATTTGCTTAAAACAGAGAGTGCTCAAACTTTTGCATATGACTGTATTTCTCCACAGTGGCATTTTAAGGTGAAGTATTCCTTCAGGGCATATAAATGTGCATTGTTGAAACAGTGTTGCCGGTATAAAGGGAGATCTGTGAGAGTAAATAGCACCATAGTATCCACGTATCCACCTGTTGAGCACCTGAATTATGTCGTGAGTGGAGTCTGGAGTTGGATCTGTGGTGGAATCGATCACTTTTGCTCTTGTGTCCGTGTTGTGTTGGATGATTAATTGAGGAACCCTGTAGAGATTCGGTTTTAAATGGGAAGTTTTACAGGGTGTCAACATGTCCACCACTCGCTCATGAAGGCTGTGAACTAGACTGAGCTCACTTTAAGTATAGACCACATAGACTGCTTTCACTTGATGCTGTAAACTGGGGACCTAAATGTGGTTTAATGTCTTTACTGTAGTTTTACTGTTATTTTATTTTTTGGCGTTATGATTGGAATGGCAGCGAGTTTTTGAGGCCTGATGTTAATTTCGAGGACGTTGTGCAGTGAATCTCGTGTGATCTAATGATGCTCTTCACTTGCATGTATTTTAACAGGGAATCCTGTCTGTAAGTATGTCTCTCATTATCGGTTTATTTCAGTACCTATTTTTATTTTAAGATAATTAAAAGTACGTCATTCAGCTGTGACTCAAGCTGTTTGGGCCTTCTTACATTTAAGTGTATGTAGTTTTATTATGGCCATCTAGTTGATTGGTGTGGGAATTCCACCAATTTTTCAACATTTCTGCATAATTAAGTGGTCGAGGAGTTTTTAAACACCTCAGTGTCGCTGCTGGACTGAGAATAGTCCACCAGCCAGGAATACACAGCCAACAGCGTCCTGTGACCACTGATGAAGGACTAGAGGATGACCAACACAAACTGTGCAGCAGCAGATGAGCTATCGTCTCTAACTTTACAACTACAAGGTGGACTGACAAGGTAGGAGTGTCTAATAGAGTGGACAGTGAGTGGACACAGTGTTTAAAAACTCCAGCAGCACTGCTGTGTCTGATCCACTCGCACCAGCACAACACACACTAACACACCACCACCACGTCAGTGTTACTGCAGTGCTGAGAATGATCCACCGCCCCAATAATACCTGCTCTGTGGGGGTCCTGTGGGGGTGCTGACTATTGAAGAACAGGGTAACAAAGTATCAGAGAAACAGATGGACTACAGTCTGTAACTGTAGAACTACAGAGTGAAACTATACGGTCAGTGGGGCTGATGAAATGGACAATGAGTGCAGAAACAAGGATTTAGACTTAATGTCATGGCTGATTTTGAAAATTCATGGTGGAGGGATACTTGCAGGGCGCTGAGGCAAAATAGTCACCACCACTGTAAAGACATCTGAACCACTTCACACCAAACCACTCTGAATCACTCTGTTTACGTCTCACCCACAACCAATACAGAATATTTTAAAATCTATGAAATTCCCCTTTTAAGACCATCAGTGTGGGACCAGCATGATGCTATACTGCTGTTGACCAGCAGAGGCCGCTCAGTGCTCACTTAAACCTCTAAGAACATCTTCTGTCACACTTTTCTCCCATATGGAGCTGCTGTGCAGTTCCTTTCTGAATTGTTTTATTTGTAAAATAAAAATAAACTTAATAAAAATCCTGTAATGTATTTATATCATGTAAAGCTCGGTTGCCAGGTCCACCAGTTTCAAACATGTCTATCAACAGCTAAACTACATTAAAGTATGACCATTGAAAGACTCAGTAGGACAATGTAGGACAATATGTATGGCAGTTGAGGGTGGACTGTAATATAATGCTTCTCTATGTAAGCCTGTAAAGCAGCTGTACGGAACAGACATGATGTGAGTGGTAATTCATCTAATCCAGCAACACAGATTTAAGAATTAGTTGTGTTCAATTGTAATGAAGTTTTTGAAACAGAATGGAAATGTATTAGATCAGTTTGTAGAGTAAATAATAGTTCAGTACAGTCCCACACACAGTCAGAGAAACTGTATGAACTGTCAGTGTATTAAATATAATAGAACTTGTTTGTTAATTATTTTTTTTATTCTTAAGTTATACAGTATTGCAACACTAGTTAAAGTACCTTTTATTTAGGATTATCTTTCAGCTAGAGTTAATAGTGCAACAAAGGAAATGCAGCTGCAATGAGGATACGGTATATATATATATATATATATATATATATATATATATATATATGTCTGTGTGTCTGTGTGTGTGTGTGTGTATAATTTAGCCGCTGGACATAATTTGAAAATGCCTGTTGCCCTTTACATTGTGTGTAAATTTCATGATGAATGGACCAAAAGAAACGACTCAGAATTACTTGGAAAAAACATCTGGTTCCACTGACTTACATTAGAAGTAAAGTATTTTTTTTGCTTCTCCTGTGAAGTTACCAATTTGGAGATACAAGGTTTTGTTCTGACGGTATGTATATAGAAGGATTTTAGTGAATTAAAAGTACCAAATGTGTTTCAGCTCTGAAGAATCATCCATAAATATATATATTATATATATAGCTAACAATATAGTATTGTGATGGATTGATAAAATTGATACTATATTATTTAAAATCTTGGTGTTTATTAAGTGTGTTATTGGCAGTACGTATGAATAATGGCAGTAAAATAAATATAAATAAACATAAATATAGCAAAACATCATTTTTTGTTTTTGAAGAAGCTTTTCGGTTTGAAGACAACTGTCAGAATAAATGATTAAATAAGATACAACAAATAAAATCGCACTGTATTGCTTATTTTTTACTTATTTGCATTTGTTCTACTGTGTTTTTGAGCGAATGACTGTTTACTGCTCAGATAAATTCTTTTATACATGTATTTATTTATAGATGCCTAATTCTTTTATTCAGTACTCTGATTATAAATATTAGCTAAAGCACTTTTTGATTGGGCCTTGAACGTTTCTATTCTAAAAATCACAGTACTAGACTCTCAGTGTTATCTAGAGCATTACTTTGATTGTTTGGTCAGTAATCTTTACACCGAGCCGTTTCCACTCAGCCAGACAGAGGATTGTAAAATTAAGCAAACACGGCCCACTTTGCTCCCCTCCGTCACCCCGGGGTATGAAACAATCAGAGTGGGCCGTTAAGGGGTCTGGATTTATGGCTGGCCGGGGTTCGGGAAGGTCAAAGTGACGTTGTGCCTTCACTCATCTTAATCAATCTCCCCACTGACCTCGACACCCTGCTACACAGAGCAGGAGGACCACCAGGAACCAACCAACACTCACACACACAAAAAGGCTGTGGGTTTAACCCTGTATACACACTGACCTTACACTGGACCGGTCATCTGAATGGAGCCTCATAGGCGCTCACACACAGACGCATGGAAAATATTTAGCTGATTTGAAAAGTGAAAATAAGCCAATATGACCTCTGCAGAGAACAAAGGTGGAGGGGAATTCCACCAATTTTTAAAAAAATGTGTTCAGGGGTCGCCATGACTACAACACAAATATAGATATTTTATTTACTATCCAGAACCACCAGTGAACCTGTTAAGTTTGCATGTGTAATGTTGATAATAGTATATATATATA